TGTCGCGCATGCGTGTTTAGAGGCGACGCTATGACACATGCGTGTAAGAAAAAAAATGCGGTCAGACCTTAAAGATGGAAACGCGAAAACGGCGTTTCTGAATCTTCCCACTCTGAAGGCTGAATAAAAAAAAGATCGTTTACAGACCCCCGAAACGCCGGCTTCGTATGAATGAGAGGCTGGTTTGGTGAAAAATGTGTGCGTTTAGGTCAGGGTTTGACTTCGTGTGGACGGGGCCTCCTAGTCCTGGAGGATTACAGATCCTGGAGAGATGAACTATTACAGCCAATCACCTTCTCTGTAGACCGGATGACACGCTGCAGTCTGCCCTTGTCCTTGGTTGTCTCATCAGCGTACATGACGATGATGCAGGAGGTGAGGATGGACTCAATGATGGAGGAGTAGAACTGCACAATCACTGTCCTTGGGAGGTGGAATTTTTTAAGCTGCCACATGAAATACATCCTCTGCTGGGATTTCTTGGTGAGGAAGTCGATGTTCAGCTCCCACTTTAGGTCCTCCGAGATGATAGTCCCCAGGAAGCGAAAAGACTCCACGGTGTCAATTGTGGAGTAACAGAGGGTGATAGGGATAGCTGGGGCTGAGTTCTTCCTGAAGCCCACAAACATCTCCACTGTTTTTGGAGCATTGAGCTATAGGTTGTTCACCCTGCACCAGGGAGAAAGGTCCAATGAGAGCAGTGTCGTCTGCGAACTTCAAAAGCTTGACAGACTGATGACTGGAGGTGAAGCTGTTGGTGAACAGGGGTAGCACAGCCCTGGGGGGAACCAGTGTTAATGACCTGTTAGTCTGAGACACGTTTTTCCAGATGCTGCCCCTTGTCAGACAGAAGTTTGTAATCCATCTACAGGTTTAGTCAGGCACACTCAGCTGGGAGAGCTTCTCCTAAAGCAGTGCTTGGATGATTGTGTTGAAGGCAAGAAATCCACAAACAGGAGTCTGGCGTAGGTACCTGCGGAATCCAGGTAATCGAGGATGTAGTGGGGGGCCAAGTTGGCAGCATTGTCTGCAGATCTGTTGACCCTGTAGGCAATCTGGAGGGGGTCAGGGAGGGGGTCAGTGATCTCTTTCAGGTTTGAAAGCACAAGGTGCTCAAAGGACTTCATAACCACAGAGGTCAGAGCGACAGGTCTTCAAGGTGGGTATTGTGAGAGATGTCTGAGTCCGAGGTGGGGGAGGTGTCATGAGGGGCAAGACTGTACCTTGGTCTGTCAAAACGATAGACCGCCAGACAAGACTCGGCGGCACATCTACACCTCATGGACAAAGGACATTCTTTTGAGGACCATAATGTAGTTTGACAGGTAGTTGAAGGAAGCCATCTAAGTTAAGAAAGAAAAACCTTCTTAAACAGAGGGGTCGCACTCAGGTTTCAGCTTTCAGACACCTACAATACAGCGATAGAGTTGACTCCTTTCGCTATCATCGCAACCCACATCTCCATGCAGGGGAACAGAACACCTCACCTGTTCAGTTTTTTGGTCCACTTTATAAAGCCTCGAACTCGACACTATTTATGACATTTTGAATTCAAAAAGCTTCCTGGATGGGAAGTGAAACATTTTCAAACTTAGAAAGAAAGTCCAGTGGATTGTTTTTTCTTTTTCTTTCCTTTTTTGGAATGACAGTAGAAGTCATTCTGGTCGTTGGCTAAGCGTTGGTCGTTCATGGAGTTGGGAGGTTTCAGCTTGTAATTTGTGATTTCTTTAAGCCCTTTCCAGACAGAAGCAGAGTCGTTGGCTGAAAACTGCAGCTTCTCGTTGTCAGCTTTTCAGAGTACACTAGTTTAGCCACTTTCACAAGAAATTTTGCGTCTTTGAATCTGTATTTTTGCCCACTCTTCCTTATCCAACCTTAACCTTCTGAGTTTGGCGGTGAACCAGGGTTTTTCGTTATTGTAACTCACCCTGGTACGTGATGGAACACAGTAGTCCTCACAGAAGCTGACGTATGATGTCACAGCCGCTGTGTACTGATCTAGACTGTTGGTAGTAGCCCTGAATATATCCCAGTTACTAGAATCCAGACACGCCTGAAGATCCTCCGCCCCCTCACTTTTCCACTTGTTTGATGTCTTCACTACGGCTTTGCAGAGCTTTAGTTTTCTGCTTGTTAGCAGGAATCAGGTGAACCATGACGTGGTCGGATTGTAATTGTAAAACAAAACAGAGCGCACCAACAGCTGTCCGCAGTTTTTATTTCTTTTTATATTTGCATTTTTCAATGTAAAATGCTTACTGTTGTGTTTTTTTAAACAGTTTTAAGATCTGTCCAGGGACAACAGATGAAAAATAGCCTTTTGGCTAATTCTGGTGCATCTACAGGAATGCTTTTTAATGTACACTGTCCGTGTCAAATACATTAATAATTAAAAATCCTATTTCACTGTTTTGCATTTTTATCAAAATGTCTCAAATAAAGTCTATAGTTACAACTAATAATAGATATCTTTAGGAATATCTACAATACCCAACATGTGGGAAGCCCTTTTCTTACGAGGATCTTTTCAGTCTAATCATTCTTCTGATGGTTGGTAGCAATAGTGTAAGATTTTAACTTTTGAGTCTATTATATGAGTAGCAACTCCAATTGTATTTTCATAGTTAGCTAAATCAAAACCCAGCTTTCCCAGAGAATGACCCATTATATAAGCTGCTGAAATCAGGTGATGTTTGCGTGTTGCATTGAGAAATATTAAAGCCAAAAACTTCAAAGCAAACTACAACGAAGCATGCACATGTGACCCACTGAGTCAAAAATAAGTATTTATTCCCAGAAGCTGGCTTTGCAGCTCTTAATTTCTTTTGTTCTTTCTAGTTTTCAAAGTCATGGGATCAGGTAGGGGACATGTTGACAAATACCGCCTCCCTCCCTTCCTGCCTCCATCTTGTAATTTGTGACCAGGAGCAAGATGCAAAGACAAGGAGTAAAAGAGGACCAGCTGGTGTACTGACTCCGAAAGCAGTATTAACAGATTATGAGGAGATTTTAGTTTAAGCGCCCACTGCTCCACTGCCACGTGCTTCTTGGCTGAAAGGCAGAACTTCATGAAAATAAAACTGCAAGACATAATTATTATAATTTATTTGTTTATTTTATGATTTGCGCTTGTTCAGAAACAGAGCAGAGAAAGTCTAAGAGGTATGTGACTCTTCAATTGAAGGAATAGCCATTTAAAAATCTGTGGGGTCTGAAAAAATAACATCATCAACCAGTAAAGGTCTGGAGACGTTTTTATCCATTACTTTAAACAGCATTTAACACTGAAATAAAATGCATCCATGTTATACATAACATTTTTAAATAAATAAGAAATGGAGCTTTTTCAGCTAAAAATAGTAACAGATTGTAAGTTTATCCAAGTTAGTATTATAATGCAAGTAGCTTGAAAAAACATAGTTTGTTCTTCTTTACTTCTTTACTAAATTAACATGTTTTTTATTGTGCCGACAGAATCAGACTGCAGAGTTTCTTCATATCTAGAATTTGTGTTTCTGGCATCATTATATGAGTAAATAGTTTCATAAATCTTTTTAAACGGAGCACAGAGAGAAGCTGAAGATTTAAAGCTCAACCAGATTTACTGGGATATGCAACATGCAATAAAATATATCTCCAAGTTTACCACAAAGTTTACAAGAAGAAAATATGCTATGCTATATTTAAAATGCAGCATATCCAATATTTTCTGAATGGAATTGAAATTGTACTTCTAGGGATGCATGATATATTAATTTTAGCATTGGCATCGGTTCTTATTAATTATTTTCTTCATGCATTGATGTTTTGAGGCCCTATATTAGTAATGCACTAAAAGGCATCTCTTTAACATCTGTAAATATAAATATCAGTTTGTTGTTGTCAAAAATAGTAAAGCATTCAACAACTATATGTTTGAGCTCATTTTTGGAAAATTAGCCTAATGAAAGTGTAACTGTAGGTCCATGAGCCCCCAACCGAGTGTCCCCACCAACTTTCATCACAAAGTTACAGCCTTGCAGTGATGGTAGCCTGGACACCGGTGGCCCTGTGCTTCCCCCCACCTGCCTGGTAATGCCTGGTCCGGCCCAGCAGGATGACCTTTTGACATGTGATGACATTTCTATCAAATATTTAATAGCTGTGTCAGTTGCCACCATGTGGATTTCTGGGATTCAGCATTACTGCCAGTAGATGGCGCCAGGTCTGTTTATGTCGACTCACTGTGCCCAGTGCTTGGGTTCTATTTATGCTTAAAAACACCGTCAGGATGAACACTTTGAAAGTTTACTTACCCTTTCATTAAAGACAGAGGAAAATCCTATCCTATAGGAAAATTCTGTTGAGCAACAGTTTGAGGTAATCACTGATATCACATTTTTTCTTTAATGTTCAGGAAATTCAGTTCACTTTTTTTAAAATTTAAATTCAAAATTAATATTTTTAAATCATCATGTAATAAAATTGTACTTATTATTACCCTTTTCAATTTTGTATTATTTGGATTTCTAGTGTGAATTTATTTCTTTGATGAGACTATTTAAACTTTCAAGCACAACTGTTTATACTGTAGCCATTTTGTTGTTACTACGGTAACTGGATTTTGGTGTTTTTGGTATAGGAATATAATGTTACTATGAATGTTTTACCTTAACCTTTTATAGGGCAATCAGTGAAATAATCCACATTTCAAGCCAATGGTGTTGTTGGAATGCAGGACATGACCTTATTACCTTTGTAACATTAAAAAAAATGGATATTTTGATGGCAAGAATAAATGTCAATGTAATCACAAGAAACGCCAACTTGCCCGAATATATTAAGAAAAATAACAAAAGTGCTACTATTAGAAATTCAGAAAAAACACTCTAAGAGTTAAAGTTTTTTTTTTTTGGTACAACATAACCTTAGAGGCATTAATGCTGATACTGGCACTTACATTTGTTAGTTTATAAACCTGAATATAATTTTTAATTAGACTTATTAACTTTTTAACTTTTCAGTTAGCTTTTTACCTTTTTTTCTTGACTTATTTTACAGTAGGTAATATATCATTCAAGGGCTTATCTAATTTGTCGAATGCCAAAATAAGATGTACAGCCATATAGCAGTATCTTTGCTGAATGGCTGGATATAGATCTTGTACTTCTAGACTTATTCAAGTGATCAAAAATATGAACTTGCCCTATAAAGGGTTAATATGGGTTACCTTTAGATTAAATCCCCTTCAAAAAAGCCTCCAGTTTGAACACCACATATGATTGGCAGAAAAAGGAAGAAAAACCAGGAAGCTAGCAGAGCACCAGTGGTCATTAAAATGCTTAGCGTTGTTACAGTAATAACAAAAACGCCCTCTTCCCAAGTGTCAGAAACACCTTTGTGGTGACAGCTAAACTTTCTTCAGGAAGATAATACTGGATGGTCACTCTCTTATGCTCTTTTCTCCCTTCTTACAGCTAAAGAATAAGTTCATGAAGAAGATTCCTCGTGACGCTGAGGCTTCCAATGTCTTAATCGGTGAAGTGGACTTCCTGGACAAGCCGTTTGTATCTTTTGTACGTCTGGCTCAAGCCACCACACTGGGAGGCCTTACTGAGGTCCCTGTACCTACCCGGTGCGTATATTACTGTTTTCACAATAAAGTAGAAAATGTTTTGGAGTTCATGAGAAACTAAAAATTTACTCCGGTTCCTTCAGGTTCCTCTTTATCCTGCTGGGTCCTCAAGGTAAAACTAAGTCCTACAATGAAATCGGCAGAGCCATCGCAACTCTAATGGTGGATGATGTAAGAAGCTAAACCTCAGTACTTTATGCAAATAATCCAATTTAATGTATTGGTTTGACCGTGGTCTTTGTTTTGATCAGCTGTTCAGTGATGTTGCCTACAAAGCACGGGATCGTGATGACCTAATCGCAGGAGTTGATGAGTTCCTGGATGAAGTGATTGTCCTTCCACCAGGAGAATGGGACCCCAAAATACGCATTGAACCTCCAAAGAAGGTCCCATCAGCAGAAATGAGGCAAGTCCTGGAAGATTACAATGTGAACCAATGGTATCATGTTCACAAAATGATCAATTCTGCTTTTACCATTGAGTTTGATTGGTACAATTTAGATGCAGTTGATATTTAGGATAAGCTGTTGTATGAAGTAGTTAATGATGAGTTTATGACCTATAGTCTCTGTACATTCACTTTTTGGTTTATAGATTGAATGTTGTTCCATCACTGCAACTAGCAAAGAACACTTTTTGTATAATGAAATAATAAAATATTTATTTCAGGAAGTCGGTACTCAACCTAAATGAACTTGGTCAGATGAATGGCTCGGCTGGTGGAGCCGCTGGTGGAGAGGATGATGAGCTTCCTGTTCAGCATGAATTGGGAGAGGAGCTCAAATTCACTGGAAGGTATTAAAAATAAAAAAGAAGAGTGGCATGCTCTATCTTGAATGTTTGCATTTATTGACCAAAACTACAGAAACTGAATACGTTCATAATACTTTCAGTTAAAGTATTTCAAAAATGTTTCTAGAATATTCTTTACATATAGTTTTGAAAAAACTATGAACATAACAGGAAACCAAAAAGGTCCATAGTTATGATAACTAATCTTATCACTTTTTATAATTTGGGATTGTGGGAACGTGTACATATTAAATTCAAGGGTCCCCAGGATTAAACATTGGGGTACTCCAAATGTAAACCCTGTCTACTCTGAAAAAAGTCAGCTATTGAAACAAAGTTCCTGTTCGTTCCGTAGAATTTGAACCAGCCGAGTGTTTGAGGTCTGACCCAGTTCTACAGTCGCTTCGATAGCATATAATTGTCAACATTGCCAAATGCTGTGCTGAAGTCCAACAGAACATCACCGTGGTTGTTTTCCCTATGTATGTGGATATTAATGAACACTTTGACGAGGGCAGTCCCAGTGCTATGGAGAGCATGGAAGCAGGACAGAATATATTAAAGTGGTTTGTCATTATAAAAAGCTATTCAACTTTAAAAAAATCTTTTTCAATAATTGTGCTGATGAATGGAATGTTTGAGATTGAACTGTAATTTTGCAAAAGGGATCTATCCAGATTTTACTTTTTTAGACATGATAACTTCTGTTTTTAGAGTCTAGAGGAAAGCACCTGATGAGAGGGATGTGTTTACTGTTTGGATCAGGTCAGGTGTCACGAAAGACAGATTTTTTCTTAAGGAAGATTGTAAGGAGGATATCGAGATAGCCAGAGCATTCGCTGATTTGTTTGAAAAGCTGTTATTTTCTCCTGGGTTTAATAGTTTTGTTGGTAGAATACAACTATTTTCTACCTTTTTTATGTCTGGATATGGCATCATTATTAAGTTTGGTGTGGATGAGCAGATTAACCCTCTATTTTAATTCAAATCAGTGCAGATGAAGACAGACCCCACTGGTAGCAGGCTGAACTGACTGACTGCAGACAAGATAAGTTAGGTTTTGAGCAGACTGGATTATGGCTAACTGGCTAGAGGCTAACGTAGAAGATTGGATGCTGGTAGAACAAGCTTGTGGCAGGCAGAAACAGTCCAGATGTGACCAGAATCAGAAGTAAATTCAGGGAATTCAGGGAGGACTAATTGAGCACAGTGACCCAGAAATGCAGGCTGTCCACATAGAGAGGGCAAGGCGAGTGCACACTGATACTGAATTGAGTCTCAGGCTAGGAAGAGACATTCTGGTGGGGAGTAACTGAGAGAGTCAGGTATGAATAAGTAAGTAACAGCTAGAAGGAATGTGTAATGTACAGGAAATGGGACCCAAGATACTACACAGACAGGTTAGTAAAATGCAACGGACATATCTCTCTTAGAAAAAGAAAATTCTTTATCTGGATTATAATCTGGATCATGACAAAAATTTTATGGATTGTGCCAGGGCACGACGCACTCGTCTAGTAAAAATATCATTAAAATCTATAATACATTTTCAAGTTATCCTGAACACAAACATCTTGATAAGCACACAAATATAAACTCCTAAAAACATAACCTCCTTGGCAGAGGTAAAACCCTAAAACCTTTAAAAACAATGCAGATGTAGCAGCTTGTTTCTGTTCTGGTTCACCCTGAACTAAAATAAAAAAAGCAATAGAGCTTCACAATAGGTAAACTGTTCCATACTACACTAATGTTAATTGTTTTGTTTTTTCTTAACTTTATCCTGTGTGTTGTTAACAGATTTTGTGGTGGACTGTGGCTGGACATCAAAAGAAAGATCCCATTTTACTGCAGCGATATCTACGATGGCTTCCATATCCAATCCATCTCTGCAGTGCTCTTCATTTACCTGGGCTGCATCACCAACGCAATTACTTTTGGTGGACTGCTGGGAGATGCAACGGATAATTACCAGGTCCTAATGAATACGCAATAAGATCTAATCAATGTTGAAACTAACTGCATTTCACTAATCAAGTCTTCTTCTCTCAGGGAGTGATGGAGAGTTTTCTTGGTACTGCTTTAGCAGGGACCGTCTTCTGTTTGTTTGGTGGACAGCCTCTCATCATTCTCAGTTCAACTGGACCCATCCTCATCTTTGAAAAACTGCTTTACGAGTTCAGCAAGTGAGCCAGGAGCCAAATGATATTCCTTTTGCTTAACTCAGTTAATCAGAATGTTATCTTAGGACTGTATTAAAAATGAAAGCAATTCTGTGGGTGCTACATGGGGTTTTCTTAATTAAGAAAACCAAAATTCTTCCAGTAAGTTTAAAATCTCTCAGTTAAGCAAATAAACTTCTCTATTATATCAAATAAAGCAAAGAGAAGAGTAAAGAGTGGGATTAAGCTGTGTTAACCTAAATGTGTTGTTGAAAGAGGGACCATTTAACTTGATGGAATCATCATTTAAAAATAATCTACCATTACGATCAGTAGTCTAGTTTAAAAAAAAGAAGAAAAAAAAAAAGGGGAATGTTTTTTTTTGTTGGAAGCATACAAAGCCTAATTAATATAGTCTATTAACCGAAAGCAATATGCATGGCATATTATATGTCAGGTTATTACATGTCAGGTACGCCGGTCATTGACCTTGACCGAGGCACCTTAAAGTAGAACTGCAGTCAGTCCCTGGACTGGCATGGCTATTACTGTCCCTACATAGTTAGCATGGCTATCACTGCTCCTACATAGT